CTGATAACATTACAGGCCAACAGGCTTTCCATTACAGATAACGTTATGTCTGACAAGGTAATGGATCACGACACATAACGTTGATAAAGTTGGATTTTTTTTTTTTTTGCCAACTCAAGTTTAACTTACACAGGATATTATATCGTTGGCAGATAATGAGACTTACCTCAAAACTAACAGTGTCCAACATTAGGGGTTGAACGAGTATATAATTTTTAAACTCGACATTAACATAATAAAACCCGAGTAGAACTCGAGTATTTGATGACGTCATAGATCTCAAGATTCAAATAAAACCGCAAAAAAAGGTAATTATTTACAAACAAACAAAAAAAAAAGGACCAACAAAACATTGGGAGCGTATATTATGCTCCTACCATTTATCATACTGCAAATAAGTCACAGGAAAAACTAAACTATTAGTTTTTATTATTAAACTGCAAACGTGAAGAAACGTGCAGCACGTCAAAAACAAAACTTAAAACAGTGGGGGGGGGGGATCGACCACCCCGCACCACCTCCAGCTGTGGTGCGCATTAAGTTTAGTTTTAGAGAGTAGTATGTTTATAGATTTTTTTATAGGTTTAGAGATTAATATTTTTTGCTTTTTGTTTGTGAAACAAGGTCAGAGGAAGCTGTTTCTGGTTCGGTGGATTGGACCCGGTGTTACACCATACTTTGTGACCTGCAACAGTGCAACACCGCCCCCTACGGTCATACGGTGGTCACATAATATGACGTCACTACGGATACTCGATGTTACATTTTTAACCTTGATAGATGTCCTAGCAATCGATGTGTATATTACTCGAGTACTCTGTTAATGCCCTATCCAACATTAGAAGTGACTAGTTTCAACGTACATTAGCCCCCCGCTACTTTGCAGTTTGACTTTCGCAGACTCGCTCTATCGCTGACATATAGTCCACAATATTGTAAAAAAAAAAATTGCACACGACACACAATTGTGGACTGTACAGTAATATCACTGTACTCACGTGGTTGGGAAAAAGTTAATGACAAAAAAAATAAAATTCAGACAGGCACTGCCATTTTGTAGTTTTCTTTCAATAAGCCTACAGTATTGCCAGTTCAAAAGAACTACATTACCCACAAGGCAACAGTGCACTTCCCAGAATTCAACAGTGCTCCCAGCTCCCAGCTTTCTGCCAAAATGGAAGGAGAGTTTTGATCCGATCCAAACCTGACTAAAAAGTTCGGACCTTATTCATAATGACTTCAGCACTCAGTGACTGCAGCGAGCTGACCAGAACCCGTCCAGAACCATTTATAGCCTCATGGGTCCATCTGAGTGCTGCTTGCTGACCAAGGGAGCCTCTCGAGCAGGGAGGCGTTGCTTGGAGGTCCGGTGTCTTCTCCGGAGCTCACCTGGACTTTTGCCACCTGATTTCTCTGGATTATTTGGACTCGATCGGGACCATCGTGTGGTTTTGTGCTGGCTCTCTGAAGTTCTGGCTCACTCTAAAAGCGTCTTGGTGCTCACGGCTGCAGAGAGCCCATCAGAACCAGACCAGAACCAGACCAAGGCTGGTAAGACCCCAAACAAAATTTTGCAGAAGCTACTGTGCAGTACATATACGTATGTTGTTAAAATGAAGTAGAGTTAGGAGTTTGGAACATTGCAAGTGTGTGGGAAGAGTTTATAAAGCCTTAAAATATATAAAACAATTAAAATAAATATAATGTTACTACTTTGTGGAATTTCACTGACTGCGGGCGGGTTCTGAACCGAACCCCTGCAATAAACGAGGGACTACTGTATCAGTTTCCTTCGTCCATGGGGAAGATTCCCCTGTCGTCCATCTTGATTGTGAACGGCCACACGACTCACGTTCCACCAAAAATGTCCTGGACAGAAACCTTGTTGTTTCTTAAAGTCCAGTCAAGGGGAAATTATACCATCTACCACGCCTCTGACCCCCCACCACAAAAAAACTCTTCCGATCTAGATGAATCACGTAAATGACATTTTGTTTGAAATTGGCAAATTTTGCCAAAAGGTGACAATTTTCCAGGTATGTCAGTCACGCAACGCTCGGCTCTCTTCTCTCTCAGAACAAACAAACTGAAACAAGCCAAGCTATTTTATTTTTACAACTAAGAGAAACACTGACGTGTTGTAAAGGCAGTGTTCTGCCACATGTGGTCCACCGGCAGCAACATAACATTTTTAAAATGTTCCTCTTTGGAGGTCACAAGCAAACAACACTTCAACACAAAGTCCTGACAAAACGAGCCCGTTTCACAACAATCATCACAGGGGTCAAGGAATAAACACCTTTTCCACCACTGACGGCTGTAATTACATGACCGGACCAGCGCCGTCTTTAAGCAGCATCAGAGCGGAGGACGGCAGCATTAGCTGAGTGGATGTTTGAGTCGACGGTTCACGGTGATGTTGTGAAGCCCTGACCTGCAGCAGCAGACCGCTGAGGGCTCGCAGGGGCTCGGCCACACAGTCAGCTGATGAAGTGAGGGGTCACCGAGAGGCTAAGTGAGACCTCACACTGGACAAGCAGGCCAGAGCTCGGGCCACGCTGGCATATGGGTGTGAAGGAGGTGAGAAAGCTGAGGAGGGTGGGGGGGAACGGCCAAGCTGTCCACTCTGCTTCTCATGAGACCCCCAGCTGTCACAACAGACACTTACCAGCCCTCACACTAAACACCCACCAGGGAGAAGCGAGGAGGGGAGGGGGACATCCTTCCTTTTCCAAACAGAAAGATGGCAGGGAGAGAACAGAAGAGGAGGCTCCTCCTCCTGCTGCTGCTGTGAGGTCTGAGGAACGCTGAAGCCACACCTGCTAATTAGAACAGCTAAAGGATGAAGGTGCGCGATGGACGACTGTTTAAGCTCCAGGGTACAGAGGGAGCAGACCAAGAGGCACAGCAGGACGCAGACAGCTGCAGCCTCGACTCTGTCTCAACAAAACCCAGAGCGCTGAGGTCACGCTGCTCAGATACCCCGAGCTGACGGCACGTCAGAGAACCAGAGCTAAAAGAACCAGGAGTGGGCACCAAACGGACCCTCAGAGACACGCACCTCAATTTACAGACGGTAGAACATAAAGTCCAGGACAGCACCGGCTCATGGGAACAAAGTAACCAATACAAAACAAACGTCTAATAAGACTTTAAATCTTTGTATTAACATGAAAACTAAACGAACATTTTAACACAGCTGGCTTTAGGAGTTAATATTTAGTACGCTGAGTCAGATGTTAAGATAGTAAATTGTTTAATTGAATAAATTATTAATGTTTTGAATCTTGTTGTCTGAATAGACTGAGGATGTGTCATAATGTGTTCCTGCATAACATCAGCCTTTAATAAATACAGCAACCATATTTATTTCACTTGGGCTTAAAATGATTAACGCATCGTCTGTTTAACTTCTGTTTTTCAAGTTTCACTTTTCTACAAGTTGAACTTCTTTCAAATAAAATAATATGAAATAAAACAAGTAAAATATTCTAATTATCTTGCAAAGTATTTGAAATTTCACAGGATTTGGATATTTTTCTCATGTATCTGTTTTCAATTGAAATTACAAGTCCAGACTGCATCTGTGTGTTTTAAATAAAAGCTAAACATGTATTTTTTTTTTTTACATCTCTATATGTAGAAAATTAAACTTCACCTCTATCAGCCCAAACAGAAAACAGATTCCTATGAAAACACACCAGTTAGGAGCTTTTGGGTCTGATTTTAAACCATTTGAAATATTTGTGCTAACACCAAGATTATTTTGCAAAGACAAGGTTAGCAGCAATTAGTACTTTCAACATCGTAGTATTAGGCCTGTTGCGATAAACAATAAATCAATTAATCGATGATGAATGAAAATTATCGACCTCATTTTCATTTATCAGCTTTATTGTTTCTTCGGGTCTCTCTCTTTCTACTGAAGGCACTGGATGACAAAAGGCTCAACTCAGGCTCTTCACTGACTCCTCCCTTTCTCTTTTCTATTTAAAATCCATTTTAAACATCTAAAACTGCGTTTTTGGATTGTTAAAAGCAGCTAAGCTGAGAAGCTAAGCTACGAGCTAAGCTAACAGGACAACCTTGGAAAAAAAACCTGTCTTGTCAAAGCTCCAAAATTCACGGTTGAAACCCGTGCCTTCGACTAAAAAGTTGTTTTCCTCTGCAAAAAGAAGCTGAGAGCTTGTTTACTGATTTTTTTATTAAAAGCTCTGTGTGAAAAATGCTAAAGAGCTCAAATCACAGAGCGTCCGCCATGTCACCAAGTCAGCCCATGTCACGTCAAGGGCCCTCCCTCACATTTCTCTTAAAGAGACATGCTGCTCAACTATCCATCCTTTGGTTCAAACAGTCTTATACTGCCCTCAGGTGGTCAAAAAAAGTATTACACTCCAAACAAATCAACATTTCTTCTACAGTTTGACAATGAATTACTGTTAAATTTCAAACAATATTATCGTTTATCGCAATAATTTCTGAGACAATTAATCGCCCAGCAAAATGTGTTAACGTGACAGGCCTACGTAGTATTTCAGGCAGAAAAATTATATATAACTTGTTTACAAAGATGGCGCCTCTCCCAGGTGGTTGTCTTTCATCATCACATCTCTGCCTTTGTGCTTTTTAATAGATTACGCTCACACCAAACATCCACCAAAGCCTTTTTTCTTCCAGCATTCCTTTCACACCTGAGAAGCTCCTGACAAGGAGTCCTGGTACCACGCGTATCACTTAACCCCGTGTCAAAACACAGGTGTAACACGGCCCGGGGAGCAGGTGAAGGTTCAGAGCTCATAAAGGAATGTGCGAGCTGGGAATAGCACCCTGCATGTAAGAGAGGCCCCGTACAGAGAGCATACAGCAGGTACAGGACAGATGGCAGCTGGAAAACTGCCAGGCACAGCAGAATACACACCTTTACCTCAGGGAACCACAGCACGAGACAAAAACGTGACTCTGCCATTATGAGAAGACAGCAAAGCAGAAAGTACTCTTACCACGGCGCGCCGTATATTCGGAATCCCTTTATGGTGACGTCCGAGTCCTGCAGGTACACGCAGTTTGTGAGGAGCGACTGGACATTGTCAAAATCCTCAGGTTTGAGTTTGGAGACCGACGGGAATCTGTAGTAATCCTGCTTGACCAGCTCTGCCATGAAGTCCTTATCAAACGTCAGCTCGTGGTTTCCAGCGATCACCACCTTAAACTCGTATGGGAGACCACCTGCAAGAGACGAGAGCAGCCAGTTGGGTTTAATCAAAAACGTTAAAAATCTCTATCCTGCACCACTCTCTCCTTAAACTGGATTATTTTCTATGAAGATAAATTAGTCTCAAAAGTAGTGAAACAACCGTACAAGACAAAAAAGTTGTACAAATGTGTACTACAAGATTAACAAAAACAGTTTTTCAAATGTACACATTTCTATTTGCACAAGCAGGAAAACTGTGTGTACAAATCGTCAAATACACGTGCACAAATCAGCTGCTGTGCACGGATCAGCTGCCTATGAATGTGACTTTTCAGACTTTCTTACTGCTCCAGATTCACAAAGATAATGCTGCGTTCAAGGCTGGTAAAAATCTGGGACATCTGAGCCTTACTAGATTTACACAGTTGTTGTGAAAAGACTCATTTCTAACTCGACACAGTACTTTAGCTCATAAGCTCAATATTAAAACACATTTGCTTACATAAACTGTACTGGATTCCAAAATACATTACTGTACCTCTGGAAAAAACTACCTAAAACAAGCAGGTTATTCTTCATGTGGAAAATGTATAGTATTTCCACAAGAATAATAATTAACTATTTGTCTTGTGGGAAAAACTACTGGAAAAATAAAAAATGTTCCGGTGTTTAAGGCATAGAAAGGACAAAGCAAAAAATATTTTTATTCAGTAGTTTTTGCAGAGGAAGACGAACCATTGTGAGTAGTTTAGTTCCAATGTGCAGTTCACACACAAAAAATACAGGAAATTATATTTTTCCGGTAGTTTTTCCACAAGTAGAAAATGTTTAAGTTTTGTGAACTGTACAGCTGGAAAAAAAAAAAAAACAGGAAAAATGAGCACGTTATTCTTCACAAAATTAATGTTTTTGGTGTTTTCCTACGGGCGGCACGGTGGCACAACTGGTAGAGCTGCTGCCTCTCAGCGAGCAGGTCCTTGGTTCAAATCCCGGTCCAGGGGCCTTTCTGGGTGGAGTTTGCATGTTCTCTCCGTGCATGTGTGGGTTTTCTCCGGGTACTCCGGTTTCCTCCCACAGACCAAAAACATGCATGTTAGGCTGATTGGTAACTCTAAATTGTCTCTAGGTGTGAGTGAGAGAGTGAATGGTTGTTTGTCTCTATGTGTCCCTGTGATGGACTGGAGATATGTCCAGGGTGTCCCCCGCCCCTCACACAGATTGCTGGACATGGGCACCAGCGACCCCTGTGACCCAAAATGGAAGAAGCAGGTAGCAGGTAAAAGATAATGGATGGATGTTTTCCTCACAGACTGGATAATAAACATAGACTACATCAGATCAAGACCTTTAGAAGTGTCTTAATATATTTTGTCTCAAGCGATTATTTTAGTTACTAAAAGGAGATTAACTCAAGAAGACTGGCCTAACCAGGACAACGTCAGCAACAAATGGACAAAACCTGACAAAATCAGCATTATTACACTATTCTTTATTTTTATACACAAACTAGCGTAGATGCTTTAACTTCAACAAGTGTATTTTGTTTTACCAATTCCAGGGTATCTGCAGGGTTCAGCAAGTCAAACTGAAGACTTTGTAAGATTTGTTAATGCCACCTAGAATGAAATTTAATACAGAAAACCCTATAAGTACAGGTGATGGTTGGGGAATCCTCATAGCATGTTACTCAATGAGGAACGTTCAAGTTTCGTTTTTATCTGTTCAATGAGCATAAAGTGATATTCAGTGCTCTCTGGTTCAATAGCTGTAAAATAACAAGTGCAGTTCAACAATTTTCAGTCAGGTCATCTGGACAGTTTGTTTTTTTGTGCTGAAACATTTCACCTTCCATCCAGAAGGCTTCATCAGTCAAGGAAATGCACAACACAAAACTGATTCTTCCCCCAAACAGCTTACTCCAAAGTGGAACAAACCAGTTATGTTGGTGCTAAGATGGTGGGTGCAGCTTATGTTCAGGTGCGCTCAATAGTCTGGAAATTAAGGTACATTCATGGCATGAGCCTCAGCTGAGTCTTAATCTCCAGTTTGTCTTCATACACAAAGACTTGATTTGTGTCCAACACATGATTTAGTCATAGAGTAGATAGCTAGCAAGTGTATATATGAGCAGTGAGTAGAAAGTAGCAGAATGTGAGGAAGAAGTCTGAACACAACTCAATGTAAAACTTGTGATCAACAGAAAAGTCTTGTGAGAAAAAAATACATACAGTATATGAAATTAAAAAGTCCCAGGGATTAAAGCCGAAAATAAATCTTTGACGGAAAAATTTTATACAACTAGCCAAGCATAATTCACCCCTTGCTCGGATTAGGTAAAATTGATTGATTGATTGGCTCTGGCTCTCTTTCTTGGTTGAAAGCAACATCAGTTTAATCCCTGTATTATCATTAAATCGAATGGATTAAAAGACGTTTTTTTCCCCACTCATTTTTACAGATGACAGAAATCTGTCGCAGAGATGGAAAACTTTAATCCCTCTTGCCCAGACTAATTTTAAGACCTTTGATTAACGTATTCAAGACCGACTTACACATTTTTAATGAATTTAAGACATTTTAAGGATGTGCCTGTATTAAAACAAATTAAGGTTTAAGGCTCTTTGCTATAAATAAAACGTCCTATTACTGCTACAAAACAAACCATTATAATAGTATTACAAAGACACTAAAATGATTTTAAATTTGGGAAAATAAAAACTAAATTTGAACTACTCTGAAGTTGTAACAAAAATTTGGACTCAAGTCCGAAGCAATTCATTTTCTTCACTTTCAACAAATCGACAATAACGTATAGCAAATCTGCAGAAGAATGGCTTCTCGAGATCCTTGTTTTACTCTCCGGTTCAGAAAGAGCTGTTTGTCTAAACATTTAGTACGCGAGGCCCCCCTCCCTCAGTAAATCCCTGTACATCTAACCCCGAGCACAGATCAGGGCTCAAATGAAAGACGAATGATTGGAGGAGAAAAACACGGTCATAAAGGTTACAGCCACAGCTGACGGCGCAGCTTGACCCCAACAGGCCACCGTCCATCTCTATAGATGTCAGGCAGCTGGAGAAAAAGCCTGGACCTGAACTAAATGGAGAAGAACATCTATTACAGATCTCATCTCCTCAGCTTCTGCCGTGTTCTCTCTCTGTCGAGGTGATTTGTCCCAGTGCTGCTTCATTCCAGTCCACCGAGCGCTCCACCAGACACTCTGGCCTCGTCACCACCTTTAATTCACTCCATATTTCTCTACTTCCTCACACGGATTCAGCTTTTTAGGATTTCTGTGGATTTGGTTTCCTCTCATTTGATTTCAAGTTCTTTCTGCTTTTGTTTGCGTCGTGTGTTCTGTTTTCAAATAAATTACCAGGATCATTTTCATTCATCCTTTATTTAAACAGGTTAATCCCGGTCTAAATTTAATTTAAATTTAATTTATGTGCAGACTGAATGAACTATAACAGTTGCAGCATGTGATATTGTAGCAATTGGTGAAATGAAATGTTAGAGATGTTAGCAAAAAACTTGTTTTCTCAGCTTTCCAAATTGCACATTTTGATTTTTGTCAAAACATAATTAACTGTGAAAATATGTTTAGGCCACATTTTTGTGAAGTTTCATGCTAACCAACTAAATTGATACAATTCCCAACAGTGAAAGTTTTATTTGCACCAATTTTCTTTTTTTAATTGAGCTACTCATACCTAGAAGACAGAACTAAGAGACTTTATATCTTACAGGCTTCTCTCTAAAATCTAACCCTATCACAAGTTGGATCAGTCCATAAAGTACTGGATGATGGTTTTTGCGATTGTTTTGATTTATTTATATAGAGCTCACTAAGATGGTAGACTTCTATTATTTTTATTCACCAAGTAGGACATGTGACTTATGGGGTCATTTCTTAACAGTCACTAACAACAACCGGAAGATAAATGCCAACACTAAACAGAAAAAAACAACACGGACAAACTCATGTGGACACAAAACCTTAAAAAGTCCTCCCCCTTCTGTCCCAAGATCACCCAGAAGAACATACACAAGTACAACATGTAACTTCAGTGATTTACACCAAAATCTGACAGTAGCCCACAGAACTTACTGTTTCTGTAAATGTTTATCATGCAATCAAACAAAAACACAATTTTAATATTGAAAATTATAAATGTAATCGTAAATATGATATTTAACCGTCTTTTTTAAGAGCCAATACAATTTCTGTTGATTTTTAAAAATACAATATTTTTTTGAAAATGCACTTAATACATCACAAATCTTCATGTAGTCAAAGAAATAATAAAGTGCTTTGTAAGGCCTTCCTGAAGTCCTGAGTCTTGGCCCCACCCACTCTATATCAGCGTTCTGATTGGTTAATGTTCCTGCCAGTAATTAAACAAACTCATCCTGGAGGGACTCTGAGCTCAGCCTTCTATAATGACAGTGAAGTCCTAAACAATGAGAGCTCCATCTTCTTCTGCCTGGAGACAATAAAAATGAAAGAATCTGATTGGATAACCGTGATGGACTTTTTTTTTTTTTCATTCAACCTTTATTTATACATGTAAGTCTCAATGAGTCGTGAGGACTCATTTACAAGAGGGACTTGCAACCAGTCCAGGGTGTCCCCCACCTCTCGCACAGTGATGGCTGGACATGGCACCAGTGACCCCACGATCCAAAAAGGAAGAAGCAGGTAAAGATAATGGATGGATGACTTGATAACTAGTTTCATGAATTTTAAAGAATCTTGACCAACAAAGAAGTAGATTACAGAAAATAAGAGATTTAGCATAAAATAGGAAAATTATTTTGAAAATAATTATTTTATGTAAAATAAATATTAAATTAAAAATTTAGAGGCACAGTGGCACAGTTGGTAGAGCCTCCCAGCATGGTCGCTGGTTCAAATCTCGGTCTGGGGGCCTTTCTGGGTGGAGTTTGCATGTTCTCTCCGTGCGTTTTCTCCGGGTACTCCAGTTTCCTCCCACAGACTAAAAACATGCATGTTAGACTGATTGGTAAC